GGCTTAGCTCTTTGTGTACAATATCTATTCACAAAGATATCATTGAATAAAAAGAAGAATCAGAGGTGTTGCATAATGAGGTGGTTGAAAAATTTGTAGAAAAACCAAGGAGGCTAGCCTTTCTTTATAAATGATGGGTATAGTATGCGTTTTGATATTCATTCTTATAATGCATGGTACATTATTGAGAAAATTAAGCATAACTTTAAAGAATGGAGCCATCCCTGTCTACATGCCCTAATCTAAACAAGTGTAAACTAACGAGTGGAATGCTAAAAACAATCTCTCTTTATGCTCTTTAGGAAATGTCGTATACTATGTTAATTTTTGTGCTAATCCAAATTTCTTCTGTTTATTCATGGGCAGTGATGAGTTCGATTTAGGGGACAATCGTCTCCTGCGTAACGTTTCTCGGAGCCACCTTTAGTACCTTTTTAACTAGTTGCAGTTTCAACGATTGCCACATTAAGAATGCAGCTAATAAAAATGGGGTTTTTATAACTTTTTCTTCACAAATAATTTGCCCTCCAAATCACAGGAAATGCTGTTTCCAAGGCTATGGATTTCAAAATTTTGTGGGGGTCACGCCTCCGGCACGACATGGGTAAGCGGGAGCTACTATTTTTCCTGTCTACGCCCCTGTTTATCTCATATCAGTTCCTAAAAAATATTTTATTAATCTAATGGTAAAGGCCAAGTATAAAGAATTGGTGAATGTTTTTCATATCTAACGAGGCTTATGAAATTGAGATACCTTCATAGATGGTCAGCTTAGTAATGCATAGCATCTTTTTAACTCAGAACAAGTTTAATTCTATAAAAAGCTGTTTATGCTACAACTACTTAGCTGATCTAGCAAAGTTAATACTCTGAACGAAAATAAACATTTATGGCAAAACGCTCAATGTCGTCACTAAAATATATTTTAAAGCACAAACTCTCTCACAAAGCTTTTCTACATATTCATTATTCATCCATTGCTGCTTTAATGCATACTCATTTATGCATTGAGGAAATAAAACCTTACCTGGACATTATGTCTATTATTTATATAACTCTATTTACTTCCACATTCCAGAATTAGATAAAGAGATCTTCATGAATACAATTTATTATCTTCATAATTATATTGAGCCTAATCCTTTTCTTTCGGGAATAAATTTAACCAGAAAGGATATAGCGAGAATGTTTCACACAACTTAAGTGACACACGATTTCAAGATTTTTACTTAGCGCAACGTATAGGGGTGGATATCTATTGTAACATCAACATGGAAAATTTCATCCCTGTTGCTGCCAAGGACAACAATATGGATTTTATTGCAATATTGTTTGTAAACATGTTGTTGTATGTATGGATTGTGTGTTGATGATGTCTTTATCGACGTTGTTAAAGCAGTAAACTTTGTTTACACATTTTGGCAGAAAGTGCACCAGGAATGAATTTAATCATTGTTGCTTCATCCAGTTCATTGCTAATTTGCTATTCTTATTAAAGTTGTGCAAAGCAGTCAACCTTGCTTTTTCGCCAGAAAATGTATTATACTGCAAAATATGTGGGCTTTGTTAGTTTATTATGTTCACAGTTCACTCCTATGAATTTTTATTAAGGATACAATTGGTTATTTTGTAGTTTAAAAGCTATCCTCATGAAATTTAAAAATCATTTTATACAATTTATGACCACATCAACCTCTTAAGCTTGATAAAATGCATTTTATTTATTATTTCCACCGTTTAGATTTAATGCAAGTGGCAATTGTTTGTTTGTATATTGTATCACTCGCGAATTTGTTAACATAATTTTGCGTATGATACGCGTATCGTTCTCTTGTCATACACGTATCGTTCTCGTATCATACTCGTCTTGTTCTCGTATCATACGCGTATCGTTCTATTTTACGCGCATATCGCTTTTTTAATCTCTGACAATGGCTGATATAGTCTGTCTGTATACACGACAACTGCTCGATGCCGATTCGCGGCTAATTTCAGTGTATTTCTTTCCTTGCTTACGTAATATTAGTAGCTATTCTTTCCTTGGAATAAGGTTATAAACGCGTCCCCGCAGACATGAGAAAATAGTTTTAACACGTGCGTATCTACGTCCGCGATCTCTGATAGTGTCCGTATTGAATAAAAAGTGGTTTCATTCGACAAAGCATTTTTTTTTGCTGTAAGATACGCAGATACGCGTATCGCGTATATAGTATTTTACTCGTTCAAGCGCTGAATCTAAATCTCTAAAATTTACAGAGCACCGCACTCAAACGATTTATATATTACATATTTCCAGACCTGCGAACCCCAAGGAATACAAAATGTTGAGATTAATGCAGAACAACCTGGAGATCTGTCAAAAAAACTGGAGATTTCTATTCTTGTATACGACATATTTATAGATTGATTTATTAGGAAAATGGCAATGATTACCTCAAATGTTATGCACAAAAATTTTAACTCAACAAGACACATGCACTGTGTTTGCAAAAACCTACTTACGTGCTCTATTATACAGTGTAGTTGCCTTTTTTGACTGCTGTAAAAGTTCATTGTCGGGTTTCCACTTGTAGCAAGGATAGTGTTCTCAGAATAGGCTAGTTTCATTGCCAAAATGTTCGACAGTGTCCGATCATTGTTCAAATAGGAACGACTATCAGTTTTATTTTGCGCACAATACTGAAAAGCCGCTCCTCTTCGGCATTGCTGTGTGGAACGATGAGCACTGCCTCTTTAATTCTTAACAGATTCCGAAATCTTTTCATTGACGTTCCAGATTGCTGCATTTGTCCAATGAGCCACCATAAAAAATCTACACGATAATGGAACACCTTGTTTCCATCAGAATCAATACATTCAAGTACTTTGGCTGCTTTCCATGCTTCGTCCCCAATTTCAGAGTCATTAAGTGTTTTATAATCGCAAAATTCTTCATTAAGGGTATCAATTGGCACTTCTTCAAATATTGTGCTGTACCTATCATGGAAATACTGCACACACTCCCACTTCACCACATCAGGTGATTTTGTACGACCTGAAGCAGATGATGAAGCAATTTTTCTATCAGGGAAAACTTCCTTAAATAGTGGACCCGGATGATCAGCCGTTGCATTGGAAGATTATGCTGCACTAAAAAGTTTGTCATCATGACCTCTGTTTGATAACGTTTTTCTTTGTAGAATCTGTCCATGTTGCAATGTGTTGTGAAATCAATTGGGTATTTTTAGCAGCATCAACTATATTTTTATGTGTTACACGTTCACAATGCACCTTAACGTTTTTCAGACCTTGGTGACCAAAACTAATATCCCTTGCACAAGGGATGCAGTAAAAGCTGAATCGATTGTTTGAAATTGATTTTACAGGATAATTTTGAGACCACATGCAATGGATTGAATTTCCCTTGGTACTTAGCAGAGCCATCGTACTTCTTACTAGCTTTGCTTGTACTGCATTCTTGTCTTGACTCTGAACCTGAATCTGCATATTTTCGATAGAGCTTGTTAGAGAATTTCTATCATCATTGCTCCGTTTTGCGGCAGCCATTTTGTGTTACATAATTATACGAAAAAAAGAAAATCAATGTCATACCCAGTTCCCGGTGCACTGCAGGCGACAATACGTTATGTTTTGAATGCTACTCATCGAGTATTTCTTTCCATGCGATAAATAAAAATGCCAAAAAATTTCTAAAAGTCTAAGCTTTAAAAAAACCGGGAGATTTAGTATCTTTGTCGTGAGGTCGGGAAAAATGCAGCAAAAGCTGGAGTCTCCCGGCGAAACCGGGAGAATTGGCAGGTCTTTATTTCTTTTTATCACTTGCCTATAAAGTCTATCAAGCGACGGTTGGCTATTCTGTATTTCTGGAGTCGACGAGGAACTTTGTTGTGAATGTGACCTAGTTTACAACGTAGTTTGATTCGAAAGTTGATGATGAAAAATGCACATCCATATAAGCATGCTATTAATAAACGTATATTCTATTTGTATGAATCGAATCGTATTTTAACAAAAGGCACGTTTCGTCGCGATATAATAAACGCATATCATTCCCATCCCTTACACGTATCATTCTCAAATGGTTGTTTGGGAACGAGACAAACTTACTTAACTGCAAGTGATCAAACAGTTACTGATGTCGAAACTATCTTGAATTCAGAGTTAGTAGCCATGCTTAACTCTCGATGCTGGTAAAACTGAATTTATGGTAATCGACTCAAAACAAATGATAAATAGAAGAAAAGTCCCTAAAATTAACATTAAAGTCAATAATAAAATATTACTCGGGTTTCAGAAAGTAAAACATTAGCTTTAAATGTTGATTAAAATTTATCCTGGAAAAGACCTTCTGTTGAATAATAGTGGAATTACATAAAATTCCATACCAGGTATACTACGTACGCAATATCAACAAAAACGAAATCAATAAAGGGGTTATATCACGAATTTTAGCCCCCCTTTTTTATTAGCTAAATTGAAAGACCTTATTTCAGTGATTTTAAATCTGCAATTATAATTGAAATTGGATTGGTGAAAGTGATTTTATGGACGTTCAAAGTCACGATTTTCAGCATTTTTTTTGCGAACTTTTTGATCGGTATGCTAATGAGTTGTGACGTAGATAGTTGAACACATATATCAACATGGCGTATTCTACTAGTAATCTTAATAAGAAACGCGGAGGAAAACGCTGTGTTGCTGGCGGACCTAATCAATTTAGTTGCGCCAATGATTCAAAAACAGAAGGAATGTCGATGCATCTGTTTCCTAAAAAAGAAACAGAGCCGCGAAGACATAGAAAATGGGTAAATTTTGTGCGTAAACATAGACCGGTTTTGAGGCTTCCTCTACCTCTTGTCGGTGTTCTGCGCATTTTGATGATTCTTGTTTTGACCTTAATTTGAGCGTGCAAGTCAAGCTCAAAAGAAGGTTGAAGAAAGACGCTATCCCAACCATAGACGTGGCTGGGATTCCTGAACCATCACAGGACGAAATAACCGATCGAAAGCGCAGACAAGTAAGTTTACGCTTGTTTATGTTAATTTTTCTTTTGTCATATAAATTCGATATAAGTTTTGTAGATTATTCGACATACTCTCCATAAGCCATCGCTGAAGGAAACATGTTCTCTCGATGAGGAAGTACCATCTACTAGTGATGGAGCTGAGCTTGTTGAAGTATGCACTGGGGAAGCAAACGATTCGCCATTTGAAGAAGAACTACATGCAGTTGGTGAAGATATTTGTGAATCCCAGTCTCCATGTAAATCGTGCCATCGTCTTAAGAAAAAACTTACATCTTTACAAAAGACTTTAAGCTGGTATAAAAGACTTTAAGCTGCACTTTATCCGTGCTGTAAGTATGGGATAATGGTATTGTTTACAATTATTTTAGGATGTAATGATCTGCATTTTTTTCCTTAGTGGAACAGCAAAGACAGCAGTTACAAGACCTAACAGATGATGCAGATCAAATATTAAATAGCTCTGGGAATAAAAGTACGCGCAAATGTACTAAATGCAAAGCTCCAATGAAAGGACATCCTCGAGGTCAATGCTTCACTGAAAAAGAATAAATTGAAGTTGGTAGATGATAGGGCAGTGGTCAGACATTGCTTGGAGCCTGTCTGGAATGGAGAAGTAAGGCACCTCCTTCCCACCACCAGCCTGAGGGTTCACCTTAGGCAAGTGATAGTACCCTCTAGCCTCCCTATCTGGGCACTGATATACACACCTTTCCTGATGATTACAGTATTAATATAACATTGAATGGTATGTATACTTGTCAGATTGAAGATGACTATCTCACTCGATTGTGCAACTAATTAATTTTCATGAATAATTTTTTATTGTAGTTTAATGCTCAACATGCCCTTTGTGGATGCAGTGCACTCAAGTGTGAAGACCTTATAAGATAAGTTCATGTGGCTTGCTATTTTCCATTTTTACATTTATGCTATGATTTAATTCCATATAATTTTTCTTTTTTTTTCCCAAACTGACATTGAAGAAAAGATTTTCTTTACCGTATAGTGCATCCATGTATCTCCTCTTTGGTTTTCATCTAGGCATATTTCCTGACCATTCTAAACTCAGCAAAGAAGGCCAACAGTCTCTACAGTGCACAAGTTAAAAGACCTTTCCATCATCGCCCCTCTGATGGTATGTAACCTTTTGTGTTACCACTTGGATATGCTTTCCGAATAAAGTGGTAAACACAAGCAGGTAAAGGCCGAGTATTCTCCCATCCCATAGACCCACAAAACCATCGCATCAACCATCTGTATGCCACAGCTCTCAAGTACCTGAAGTAAATAAAAAGGTTGGACCAGGGGCGGATCTAGGATTTTTCAAACATCAGTCATAAAACATCGGAGGCGCTCCGCACCTGGGGGGGGTCTGAGGCAATCTCTCCTGAGAAATTTTGAATTTCAGAGCCTTAAAAATGCCATTTTCAGCGTTTCAGAGCATTACAAAATGTATTTTGTGGGCATCGTTTTTTCATAAATACAACACATTTTGGTTACGTTTTTCAAAAAAAATGAAGTGAACAATACTTGAATGTTTTGCCAAATATTTAGGCTCATTATATGCCAAATATATGGCTCATTAGCATGTCTAGGAACGTAAAATTTATTTTACAATAATGCTATATTCAAAAACAGATATAGCCTTTAAAATTTCTACCAAGTTGTCAGGCATAGACCCCTAGAGACCCCATTCAAATCTCTATGTAATGAGTTAAGTTAGAAATTTGGTACTACAAGTGACAGTTCATAGATATAGAAAAGCTCAGACTTCAAACCATGCAAGTTTATTGTAACCCTTTACCCATCTCCACATCAGTATTAGCAAATTCACCTTTTGAGGAAAAACTCAAAATTTTTTTCTGCCAAAGCTTAAGCAAAAATTATCAGAGTGAAAATTTGCAGATAAGGACAGCTGAATGCCATAAATGTTTATTAGGCATTTCACTTGACTATTATCTTCTTCAAGGTGTGCTATATAGCAATCACTAGTAGCATTGTATTATCAATTACAAACAGAATGTAACCAACATGTCTTTAATTATATAATTACATGAATGTTAAAATTGGTTCATGTGTTATGCTTACTGGTTATGATAAATATCATTTCATATGATCAAAGCTCGTTTAAATGTAAATCTGAAATAATTTAGTTTAGAAATTATAATGATCATCAGAAAAATTACCTAGTGATCATGAAAAATACTTTGCTGTTTTGCCAAATTTCAAGGTTTATCTGCATACATAGAAAGACATTTTTACTTTATAGAAAATGCTTTTCATACATCAATAGCCCTTTGGAATTTATGGCAAACAATCTGGTATGAGCCGTAGATTAACACACCTTTACATCTCTACATGAGGTGTTCAGTTAGAAAAGGGGACAATATGTGACATGGGACAATATTTCATGTATCTGAAATACTAAGGTTTAATACCATTCCAGTCAAATTGTCAAAAAAAAAGCTTCATGGATCAGAAGACTCAAAATCACAGGTTATAGTAAACAGCTTCTCATGTAATCAATGTTAGTTTTCTCAAATCTTAAACAATATGTAGTATAACTGTCTAATGATTGAATGATCAATGATCATAAACTGAAAAGCCCCAAACATTTGTTTATGATAAAGTAAATAACAGTATGGCGCCTTATGGCTACAGATTTTTTGGCCATTGAAATATATTTGCAGGAATGTAGGATTTCGCTGCCATATACGGTCACGATTCCCTAAGCACTAAAGAAATCATAGCTAAAAGTCCTTCGGCAACAACAATTTTAGAAGCATCTATCTGCTTACCATACGCCATATTAACATAAATCGCATCACACACTCGCATAAATTGACTTTGATATATTACATTCATGCATACACTTCAGTTGTCCTTTACTTACGATTTTGGATGTAAATTTCTGCTGATAAAACTCAAAACAATGTTGGCTTGCTTTTGAACATCAATGACTGAAATGTCGCTCGCGAGATCGTCTTTGCCAAGCATTTACAATTCATCCATAAATTTTTCGCCCTCTTGAAAAATTCCCAGTTTGGAAAGCAGCATTCATGTCAACATATGAATTTGTAAAGATTTCCATAAATTCCATCTGATTGTAGTTTAGTTTCTATCATGCTTTAGAAAATTATTATGAAACGATCAAACATTCAATTCAGACAGTGAGCTTGACTATGTTAGTTCAGTTGGCTATCAGTCGAAATAGGTCAAACCAATCACAGTAAGACAAAATTCAAATGAACCAATTGTAAGATAGCAATTGGACTCCTTATAGGTCCGGCCACCCTATTATCGGTCGAGATTATTCCAGACTGTCCACTGATCTGGCCATTGACCAATAAAATAGCGTTTCTGGCGTTCTTAGACTCCTTTATATGTCGAACCAGTCAAGCCACCCCGCTTATCAGTCGGTTATTCCAGGTCAATTGAAATTCAACTGATCTGGTTACCAAGGAGATATTCATTGGATTAGTCATTAGTTTTCAATAATAAATAAAGCTGGATTTTTATCACGAAGTAAATGCGATAATAAAGTAAGAATAATTAATGAATTTTTAACTAATATGAATAGGTAATTTTCGAGTTTCAAACATCAGTCGCGCGACGGATTTGACATACTCTAGATCCGCCCCTGGGTTGGACTAATTATTGTTGATGAAACAATGTTGATGATAACATTCTTTCTCATACAATTTACAATCTTACATATTTAATGATTGTGATGCTTGGCGGCGATAAGCACGTCCATTCCTATCTCTCAATAGTGGCCCGACGTTTTCAAGGACAGCCTCATGAACTAAAGGCCCAAATTTGGCATGCTGTGTTGTGCATGATATTTTCTCAATGCTGCCATCGAATGTCATTTTCTGCAAAGCTGGTCCTATTTCCTTACAGCATCTGTACTCTAATGCGCCTTCTAACAAATCGGTATGACAGCATTGACAATTACACCTGAAACGTGGGAGCATTGTGGTTTATAAAGTAACTTTATGTATATTACAAACAGGAGAAAACAACAACTTACCATTCACCGAGTGGAATTACGCCATCACTTCGTTGTTCTAAGGTCGCAAGGAGAATTCCATCGGGATCATCTGGAGTATGCACTTCATCACCATCTCCTGCGAGCGGTTCATCGTCATATGCGAAGTCGTTTAAATGCTCGACATAACCCACGGATTCCGAGCTCGAATCAGATACGCATTCAGACATCGAATTCGAATTATCTGAGCACTAATTTGAAGCCATACTTTCAGGACAACTTGTTTTTTAATATTTTATTGAAAATACTGTCATTATTTGTTTTTAACACAAGAAAAACGACAACAAAATCACCTCCTATAATATAATATTATATTGACGGAAACAGACGTGTTCAACTATCTACGTCACAAGTATCAATAAGGCGTCGTAAAAAATTCGCAAAAAGTACCCGACTTTGGAGGCAAAATTAAGGAACTTATATTTATCTGTTTAAGTCCAGCGACATGTCATAGTTCTTCAAATAATCCAAATTTTCAATTAAGCTAATAAAAAAGGGGGGCTAAAATTCGTGATATAACCCCTTTAACAATTTGAGAGCAAAATTCCTGCTCATTACGATCAACAAAGTTCTCTCAAGTATTACAGCGTTGCATCCTTTTATCATTCTCGCATCATACGCTTATCCTTTTCGTATCATATGCGTATCGTTCTCGTATCATACGCGTATCGTTCTCGTATCATACGCGTATCGTTCTCGTATCATACGCGTATCGTTCTCATATCATACGCGTTTCATATGCGTACCGTATGTTAACAAATACGCGAGCAGTGCCGTAGTTCTGTTTCTTTGGTGCTTGTTGGGGACAACTCTCTCATTACCACTCTCAGACTGCTAATGGTAGATGGTTTCAGTTTGACTGGTTGCAAGATTATTCCTGGTTATGTTACTAACACAAATTAGATGGTGTATTTTGTCTTCCTTGTGTTTTGTTTGGATACAGAATTCCAAATAAGCTTGGTTAGATCAAAAAGCTTTTTATTGAACCACTTAGATATTGGCCTGATTCTAAGGCAGCATTTAAACGCCATGAAAAAGCAGTATCGGGCTACATTATGACACGGAAGCTTTGTATAAGGATTTTCTTTCCCAATCTTCAGGTAAAATGAAAGCAATTGATGTGGTATTAGATTCTAATTTAAAAAATAAGATTTTAGCTTATCGTCGTCCTGCAGTTAAAACGGTCATTCTTTCGGATCAATTAAATCAGCCTCTACTTGGTCATCGGGATGATTCCAAATATCACCCTAAAATAGGTAAATACTCGTGTCCAGGTGTAGGAAATTTTGTGATGTTGCTTAACTACCGTGTTCGATCTGGCGATGTTACTCTAGGGGTTCACTTAAAAGGCCATCCTAATAATGCTTCCTATGTTTCCAAAACCACTCAAAATGAGTTAATAAGGTGCTGTAGACAATACATAATTGAACAACTTGTCTCTGAGGTTAAAAAAAGCAAGTATTATGCGATCATTGCTGATAAGACCTGGGACACTTCTCATAAAGAACAAATGTCACTTGTGTTTCGTTTTATTGATTCTGAGCTCAATATCAGAGAAAATTTCTTTCGTTTTATTCATTTCAGTGAATGTTTAGCTGAGAAGAATCTTGCCTCTGTCATTTTAAAATGCTTAAACGAGGATCTCTTCTTGGACATAAATGATTGTCGTGGACAAGGTTACGATGGTGCCGGTGCTGTTTCTGGCCACAAAACAGTCTTGTTGCACATATTAAGCGCTTAAACAAAAAAGCCAATTACACTCATTGCTATAGCCATGGACTTAACTTAAACATTTTTTCATCTAGCTCTGTTCAGTCTGTTAGAGATCTCTTGTAAAGAGTAAAAGAAGTCGCAAATTTTTTCAACTCTTCTGATACAAGGCTGCTTCTACAAGAATTCAATATCACCAAATATTGCATACACTCTTTAAAAAAAAGGTTAAAAAGTGCTAGCAAAACTAGGTGGGTGGAGCGCATTCAAAGTCTTGACACGCTTAAGGAGCTATTTTTTCCAATC